AAAACAAGTAAGACCTGGGACTGGAGAGATGGCTCAGTGGTTAAGGGCACTGACTGCTCTTCCAGAGGACCCAGGTTCAAATCTCAACACCTACATGCAACTCAATGCTGTGTATAACTGCAAGATCTGATACTCTCACACAGATATACCTGCAGGCAAAGCATATAAAATAAAAGTAAATAAATTTAAAAAATAGGTGAGACTTCAAACTGGATTTGGCCCATTTTATTTTTTAAAAAAGTAGGAACCTGGCAAGGTTGTTCAACAGGAACACTTGCTGCTCTTGAACAGGACCTAAGTTCATATCCCATTACCCACATAGAGACTCACAATCAGACTTCAAACTGGATTTGGCCCATTTTATTTTTTAAAAAAGTAGGAACCTAGTAAGGTTGTTCAACAGGAACACTTGCTGCTCTTGAACAGGACCCAAGTTCATATCCCATTACCCACATAGAGACTCACAATCATCTGTAACTCCAGTTCCAGCAACTTTGTGCCATCTTCTTGCCTTTGTGTACCACAAAGGTACACAAACATACATGAAGGCAAAATACTCTTGTACTTATAAAAATAAAACTTTTAAAGGAAGATGGTAGAGAGTTGAAGACATGGCTTATATTGGATTTACAGTGGTGGGTAACCTTCCTAGTACACACAAGGCCCTGGCACCATATACATGCATGCAAAAGTAAGAGGTTGAAAGGTATAATAAAAGATATAAATATGAACCAAAAGAAAACTGGGCAAATTGGACCTTAGAGAAAAAATATCTCCAGGGATCAGAGAGGTGTAAATAATGAAGAAGGATCAATTCTCCAAGAAGATGTACAATTAAGAAGCATATGAACCTAATGGCCCAGTGCCAAAACACACAAACCAAAAATTATCCTATCCAGTAGAGAAATAAGCAAATGAAATGTTATAGTTGTAGTTTTCTGTATCTTCCTGAGTTAGAAGAACGAGTAGACAGAATCATGGAAGGGCCAGGACCTGGAGAGATGGCTCAGTCAAAAATGTGCTGTCAAGTCTGAAGACTTGAATTTGGATCCCCAGCACCCATGTGAAAAGCACACGTGGTAGTACAACTTGCCCTGTTAACTTCAGTGCTGGGAGTGCAGAGACAGGAGACCCCTGAAGCTCTCTGGCCAGCTAGTCTAGTGAATTGATGGGCTCCAGAATTAGTGAGACACCCTGTCTCAAACAATAAGGTAGAGAGAAATCAAGAAAGACAGTTGATGGCTTGACCTCAGGCCTCCACGTGTACCTTTACATGCATATGTGAAAACCCACATGAACACATACATGGATACATGCACACACACACACACACACACACAAGCAAGGACACAGAAGAACCTCCTAAATTTAATGGACATTTAGAGAACATTGTGCCCTAAACAGAATATACATTTTTCTCAAATGCATATCGATCAGTGAGATAGTCTATATGAGATAGTCTATAACTTGGCTCATAGATCCAATGAATTTCAAAGAATTGAAATCATAGAAATCATAGAATCTGTATTGTCTTTGGAATGAAGCCAGAAATCAATGTCAAAGACCATAACAGTAAACTCCCTGAGCATCTGCAAATTAAACAACACATTCTAGGGCTGGCAAGAGAGCTAGCTGTGTTTGCCAGAGAGCCTAACAACTTGAGTTTGATCCCTGAGACCCACATGGTGGAAAAAGAGAACAAACTTCTGACACTTGTCCTCTGATCTCCATGACATATGTGTGCGCATATATGTGTGTGTGTCACAACACACACACACACACACACACACACACACACACACACACACACACACACACACAATGAACAAGTAAACATGGGATGCAAATTTTAAAATGGGCTGGAGAGATGATGGCTCTATGGCTTCGTGCATTAGATAGTCTTCCAGAGGACTTGGATCCAATCCTAGCATCCGAATTTCACTCACAACCATCAGAAACTTGAATTTCAGGGATGTGACATTTTCTTCTGGCCTCTGCAGACACCAGGCATTTAATTATAGACATGTATGCAGGAAGAAACCCATAAAATAAATATAAAAATTGAATCTATTTGACAAAGAGAAAATCTAGAGTGAATATATATATATATATATATATATATACATACATACAT